CCGGGGGGGGGGGGCAGCTGGGGGGGGTGGGGGGGCCTTGCCCAGCCCCAGGGCAGCACCGGGGGGGCACAGCCGAGCAGGGGTGCCAGCCATGCATGCCGGGCTGCGGCTCCCAGCCATGCCTTCTCACTGGGTCCCTGCTGTCCACTGTCCTCTGCAGATCTGAGCCAAGTGGAGATAACCCATGCATACCTGGCTAAACAGGCAGATGAGATTTCCCTGCAGCAGGCTGACGTTGTCCTGGTGTTGGGTGGAGAGGATGGTAAGTGTCAGCGAGTGGGGAGCTGCGGCCGGGAAAGGCTTACCTTAGGCGGAGCTATGGTGGGGGGAAAAGCTTCAGTGATCCCAGTGAACTGGGATTTTAGCAATTTTCAGAAGCTTCCAGGAAGCTCTAGCCACTGGCAGGGTCTGTGTCGCTGGCTGGTGCTGTGGCCCAGCAGATGACTGTGGGTCCCTGGAGGCTGATGGAAGTGGCACTGCCATGGGCGGCTGCCGCGTTACTTACCAGTGACGCTGTGCGCCGGCTGTGGCTGGCAGCCAGCAGCAGAGACCTGAGAAATGAGAGCAACAACCTCAGAACAGGCAGTAAATCAGAAACCTCCTCCCCTGCGAAGCTTTCCCTGGACGCCTCTAGCTGGCACCTGCGTGAGAAGGGGACAGTGCAGCCCTCACCTTCCACGCGCATCCCAAGGAGCAGTGGCCCTTCCTCCTGGCGTGACCAGCTCTGTTCTTCTCCTAGGCTGGTGCTGGGGTGAGAGGCTGAGGGATGGTGAAAGGGGCTGGTTTCCCCAGTCCTGCGCTCGGCAGATCACCAGCCGCACAGCGGTGGAGTGCAACGTCCGCCGGATGGAGCGGCTGCGGATAGAGACCGACGTGTAGGCTTACAGCCAAGGAAAGATGCTTCTGTCGTGACTTATTTCAGGGGTCTTCAAACCTCTGTGGACTGAGCCCATCGCGAGAAGGGACTGGGAGATCCTTTATTCTTGAATTGTGTTTGTCTTGAGCAGTCACAGGCGGCAGATCTTATCGTTCAGGACCGGTCTTTGTAGCGGCCATGACAGCAGCTAATTGATGTGAGACCTGGCATCCGAGCGCTCCTGGCCAACACTAGTATTAATGACTTGGAACAGGCTTCAAGAAGCAGCCAAGGTGTTGGCTCAAGTTGAAAAGGCTGCGGCTGTGTTCTGGGCTCTGTGAAGT